ATCACCAGTGTCGAGGTTGGGAGACTACTCTCTCTCCGTTTTCGCATTGGCCATACTCGCTTACTCATGGATATCTCATGGAGAGGCGTCTTGCTCCTCTCTGTGAGAATTGCCAAGCTCCATTATCAGTCAGCCACGTTCTGTTGGACTTCCCACTTTATCAACGAGCACTCATAATTTACCTCTGTCGTCGTCTTCGCTCCGCTGCTCTCTCTTTACCTTCCCTTCTTGCTGATGGACCCACCTTTCATCCGGACTCTCTCATTGACTTTTTGACAACAACTGACTTACTTCACAAATTCTGATACCTTCAGCCCTTTCTACTTCAATCTCTTGCTACCCTCTACCCCCGTACTATCCCCTGCCCAGCTGTTTTCTGTAACCTGCTGATCATCCCTCCTCCCTTCTGCCATCCAATACCCTCGCTTCCTTCCCTACCCTGCAGCGCTGTATAGCCCTTGTGGCTTAGCGCTTCTTTTTTTATTATAATAATAATTAGCGCTTCTTTTTGATTATAATAATAATAATTGGGGGGCCCAAGACTGTTCAACTGCCTCCTAGCATACATAAGGGGGATTACCAATAGACCCCTGGTTGTCTTCAAGAGGGAGCTGGACAGGCACGTAAAGTCAGTACCTAACCAGCTGGGCTGTGGTTCATATGTTGATTTGTGTGCAGCCAGCAGTAACAGCCAGGTTGATCAGACCCTGATCCACCACAAGGCCTGGTCAAGTCCTGGCCATGGGGGTGTTGACTCCCAGAACATTCTCCAGTTATACTCCAGATATGCCCATCAATATCATATTACCTCCTTCCATAATTATGTCTATCCATATCATATTACCTCCTTCCTTTATGTTTTTCGAGAAGATTAATTCAAGGATATCCAACAGAGTTGACCAGCATTTTCATAGCAAAATTATATGCAATACTTGTTGCTGTCACTTTGCAACCATAGCTTCCTTTTCATTCATTGTACAGGAGTTTCGGACTCCCAAAGTGCAGTACAAATTAGTCTGAATAAATGTGAAGTCACAGATTTTTACCATTTAATTTTATCTATTAAGTGCTGTATAGAATACGTATTAAAATACTATTTCTGTTTCAGGTGAAAAAGGCTTATTACAACTTATCCAAAACCTATCATCCTGACCAGTATAAAGGAACTGAGGATGCTTCTGTCAAGTTCCGAGAGATAACAGAAGCTTATGAAGTTTTGGGAAACTTTCAAAAGAGGAAGATGTATGACAAGGGATTTTTTAATATTTCACCAGCTGCAACTCCAGCTGAAGCAGAGCAGTATGCAGCAAAACTTTATAAATCACAAAGAAAGAAAAACAGTTCTCCAATTACAATGGGACATACTCCTATTTTTAACTTTGATGAATGGTCAAAGGCTCATTATGATTTTAATCGTGAGAGAAGAGAGGGTGCAAAAATTCGACATAAAATATATCAGGAGAGGAAGTTAGCACGTATTGAAAGGGCAAAAACAGACTCAGTTGTTGCACTATTTTTGCTTGGAGTAATTTTTTACATGCTTTACATGATGCGTCACAATGAGTATGATACTAGTAAAGATAAAGGTAAATAGTACATTTCTTATATAATTTATTTTAAATGTAAATAGTGTGTAATTTCTATGTATTGTATATATTTTCTGAACTAAACACTTAATGGAAGGAATAAAAAATGGAATAGTGAAAGTATATAGGAATAATCCTAATATAAAGTGAGCAATTCTTAATACACGTAACTGGATATATATCGAGTTATTCATTAGTTTCTGCATGTAACTTTAAGTTACATGGTTACATGCAGTATTACTGTATTTTTATTGTATATTAAAAAGTGAGCTACACCTGTATAGGTCAATTTTTAAGTTGCAAAATTAAGTCACTCAAGCTAGATTGATGCTGCACTCCTTTTTTAATCAATATTCTTTTTTTTTTTTTAAGGAAAGGTTACCAAAAAAAAAAAAAAAAAACACCATTCGGCATCATTCACTCTATCACTATCTTTCCAGACGTGTGCGAATACTACAGTTCAGATGCCCCTCCAAACTGCAAATATCCTCACCCCTCCTTCAGAATGCAGGCACTGTTACCTCTCACCTCCAGGACTCAAATCTGGCTAACTAGTTTCCCTGAATCCCTTCACAAATGTTACCTTGCTCACACTCTAACAGCTTGTAAAGTCCAAAAAAAAACATTTTCTTCCCCTCACTCATATCTAGCACACTCAAACATGCTTTCTGGATGTACAAAAAAAAACCTCCTTTACTCCCTCCAACCCCTCCTAGGATGACCTCTTCCCAGCATTCCCTCCACCACAGATTTATACATCCTACAAGTCATCTGTTTTGCTCCATCCTCCTCCTCACTGCAACATTTACAACCCATGTTTCACACCCATGTGAGTGTTGGTACCACTATACTCTTACATTTCATTTTTTGCCTCCATGGATAACGTTCTTTGTCTCCACAGATGCCTCAGTGCACTGCACCACCTATCCTTTGCCCCTCTTCAGTTTTATGGTTCACCTTGTCTTTCATAGATCCATCTGCAGACAAGTCCATCTGAACACATTCACTTCCTCCATACTCTCCCCTTCCAGCCTTCCAGTCTGATATCCAATCTTCCATTAAATAAATTATTTGCTACCCTCACCACCTTGCTCTTTTCTATGTTCACTTTTAATTTCCTTCTTTTAACATGCCCTCCCAAATTCACCCACCAACTTTTGCAACTTCTCTTCAGTATCTTCCAAAAGCACAATGTCAGTGGCTAAAAGCAACTGTGAAAACTCCCATTTTGTATTAGATTCTGCCTATTTTTAATCCCACACATCTTCCCATGCCCTAACATTCACTTACTTTACAACCTCATTGATAAATATGTTAGATAACCATGGTGACATCATTCATCCCTGTCTATGGCCTGCTTTTACTAGAAAATAATCTCCTTTTCCTACATACCCAAACATGAGCCTCACTATCCTCACAAAAACTCTTTAACCGCTTTTGGTAACCTACCACCTATTCCATATATTTGCAACATCTGCCACATTGCTCCCCTATCCACCTTATCATATGCCTTTTCTAAATCCATGAATACAAGAAAATCTTCCTTAATTTTATATAAATATTATTCACTTATGTTTCAATGTAAGCACTTGGTCTACACTTTCCCTCCATGTTCATCTGCAACTCTGTTCTTGCCTACTTAAGGTTAAAAAATATATATATATATATTCTTAATGTATATATTAAACAGAATTTATTTAAGCTACATTATATAAAAACTTTAATAACACTGATATTATAACATCAAATGATACATAATTAAATTCTACTGTACAAGAAATGTGACCTTGTTTGATGTATGCTATTTATGAGATAATTTAGCCTTTTTATCAGAAGCACAATTTAAAAGATGTCATTTAGGCATAAGTATGTTTTTTAACACAAGCATATTACAGCTGACTATATATTTTACAATATTTGAGCAATATAATATCTGAAGTTTTAGTAACAGATTAAATAATATAGAGAACATAATTCGGTATCTTACTCAAGAGAAAAGTAAAGTTCAAATATTGAACTAAAAGAGCAAAAAATGATTACTCCTATATTACTCCTACATTCATATTAATCTCACACTTTTTTATATTGTTAAATGATCAATTAAGGACAGCTCCATATGAAAGTTAGTACAGAACATGATCATAACAATGAACACCACGAACAAGAATTACTATGACACATGCTTTTCATGTTGCCTTAATGTTTAAAAAATCTGCAAAATATGAGTCCCAGCTTTAAATGAATTTTCCTGGCCCAGTTATAGAAACTACTGAATACAGCAGTATACTAGCAATAGTAATGAAGAAAAACCACAGGTGCAGAGCAAGATTTTACTGTGACAATTTTTCACACTGTAGAGTTTTATCAAGTCAGCGTGATCTATATTCTGAATGAATTCTTCATATTGCCGGAATTTTTACAAACTGGATACAATAGCAGAAAGGAGAAAAGACAGAAGCAGAGAAAGTCTGCATTGTGATTAATCTCTCCACACAGAGAAATACTGTCACAAACTTTTATTGTAATTAAGTTCTGCACAGAGTGAAATGTTGTGATATCTGCACAATACTGACATGACAGTTACTGAGTGAACAATGGTGACTGTGTTTCCTGCTTTGTGTCAGCCTACTTTGGTGTTAAACAGCCATTGTTGTAAAAATAAATTATCCAGGTTATGTATTTAGTCTGCACATAATCATGGCAAAATATTAATGGTGTTCATCAGGTGAATATGTTAACATGAGCCTATATTTTTCACTGCTGGAATTTATTTACAACATAATGTGGGGGCATTCAGTCACAAAACCTGATGTCCAAAAATAATTAGCAATTCGTTAAAAAACTGAAATGACATTTGTTTCAAATGACTGCATGAATAATAAAAGAAAAAAAAAGAATACTGTATGTATATTAAAACATATGGTAATATCTCTGGCATTAAGGTTTATTAATTGTCCCTAAGAAGGTTTGTAAATCCTTAATATAATTTAAGAGTACTAAACGTACCGTACCATACTCTCAATTCGAGCCTCTTCAATTTTACTATTATTATTCTGAGTGAATACAATGAATGCCTGCTTAGCAACTGTTTGCAGAATGTAATACTAAATAACCCAGAAAAGCCAATGATAGCCTCCCCTTCTGAATGACAGTTCCCACTCATATAACCTCATGTCAGAGGCAACCATCATCAACAAACCGGGTTTGAATGTACATGCTGTTAGTCTGACAGAACATGTCACTGAATATTTTCATGCCAAACATCAGTATAGCTTATCAAAAAATCTAAGAGAAAATAAAATAAAAATACGTAAATTTGTGAATATTTCCCCTAATCAATCATTAATTAAATAAAAATCCACATTTCTTAATCAAACATATACCACAAATATATAAATCTGACTAAGTGAAAACTGAGAAAAATGTGTGTAGGAGCAGCAGCAGCAACAAAGGTGGCAGAGTGTATTTAGCACACACAATTATTGGCCCTCACTCCCCCACTTGATCAATCACAAGTAATACTGTACAAGCTGGACAGAACTAATATATATGTGGTAAGTTAGTGTAATTAGGCCTGCTGGCCCATGCTAGGCAAGTCCTTCTCAAATGCAACCTATCTCACTCATCAACCAGACTGTGAGATATATGTGGGCCAGCAAGCTCACAATGGTTGTAATAAGTTATGTAGAATTTAACCTAGAATGACCCAATAAAGTCAAATAATATGACTCATTTCCATGGGGTCCTTGTGTTAGAATCCTTGAATAGGGTTACCAGTAAGTTCTGTCCAAATAATAACTTATTTTGGATAATTGTATTTCAGTACTTGTATTACTGACATTTGTAATGAATGTGGAATATCCAGGGAGCACATTTTGAACACAATCCTATGGCTGATTTTCAATTTAAGGGTCATGTGCCAAACCAAAAAATAGGCACAGTGTAAACTTGGAAAATAAAAAAAGATAATCATAACATGCAAATTTGGAAAAAAGCAAATTCAGGGAGCAACACACATCACATTACTGTACACCTTGTTTCTTAACTGCATAATTTGGAGTACCCTCAGCACTGCTTCTCCCTTGATTAGCGGTTATCAAGGATTATCGGTATCAAAGGAAAGCAAAACAGAAAAAACATGCAGTACTGTACATACAGTTATTACATGTGCTTGATTACACTAACAGAAAACAGAGCATATGTATATTTAATACTTATATTAAATAAATCCATTGAGAATACTGTGATATACATTATACACACATATCAATGTGTTGCAAAATGAGCACCTTACTTTTAAAACTTTCTTAATTTCAAAAATCCAAATTATTTGTCTGTAATTGACAATCCCCCTTATTTAAATAACGTGCATACTATATAAGGAATACAGTGGAACCTTGACTTACGAGTGTAATCAGTTCCGTGACCTAACTCGTAATTCAATTTGCTTGTATATCAAATCAGTTTTCCTCATTTAAATTAACTGAAATGCCATTAATCCGTTCCAGTGGAAATCCAGCTCTCTGGAGGCAGGACAAAATACTTGAATATGATGCTAATATCAACTAAGGCTTATTTATCTATCACAACTGTATAGCCCTTGTGGCTTAGTGCTTCTTTTTGATTATAATAACATCTATCACAATTCATCTAATATGACATAATAAACAATATAACTAACAAAGAAACATGATATATACTCTAGAATGACTAAAATAGGCCATAATATGGTGAGTGATGGTGGCAGCAGCAGCATCCGCCATTTCCTCTCCCACTGACTATAGTATCTTCCCATGCTCTTATTATAAGAGAAAACAGTGTGTTTGTGAAGCTAGCTGCAGTAGATCACTAGTTTACTAAGGAAAACACTGAAACAATGTATTTATAAATAAGAAATATTGTATAAAAACAATAGAGAATGTAAAGAAATAAACTGTTTATATAAAGTGTATACTTACACACTTGGAGCAGAGCTGGTGGGAGGGTGGAAGAGGCAGTGC